TCAGTCCTTCTAAAATGAATTCCTTTGGGAATCGTTCATTTATAATATCCGGATGTTTGTCTATCCAGTAACTCACTGCTTCCAGTCCCCAAGTATGTGGGATATTTGTGTACAAACTTGTTACATCAAAACTGACGAGAATAGTGTTTGGGTCCACATTTTGGGGAATATAATTAAGAAAATCCATATCATCTCTTACGAAGCTGGGTAATAATTTGCATAGTGGTTTCAATAATATGTCAAATAAATTACTCAGTCGTTGGGTGCTTGATGCAGGTCCAGCGATGATCGGACGTATTTTAAGGTCGGCAGGTTGAGATATTTTTATATATGCGTCATCACAATTTTTCACAGCTTCCTGGATCTCCTTAGATTTGTGGACTTTTGGTAATCCATAGAAATTACTGGATTTCAATTCAAAGATAGAAAAGAAATCAATTTCATTTTTTGTTAAATTGTCGGCATATTTTTTAGTTAATTTCTCAACCTTGAGCATTGTGTGACGATCTTCGTTAGTGGTTAATTTTCTATAAATATGACAGTTCTGAAGTTCGTTCAGTACCATATTACCTCATATATATTATATATAGCTAGACTATCAGGCAGGGATACTGAAATCTCGAAAGACTCACTGTAACAACATAAAACAGTTATATTCCTCAAAATGCACATACTTTGTGGTCGGAGTGAAAAATAAAAAAAAAAACAACTCAAAATTGAATTCGGCAGGTATGTCTGCCTTCCAAGAATATTTAAGTAACGGTCATGTCAATTACTTTTGCATGCCCCCCCCCCCCCCCCCTAAAAAAATCAAATGCCTAAATGTCAATCTAAACAGGGGATGGCCTTTCTCAGGTTGTGTATGTGTGTGTGTGTGTGTTAAAGAACATATAGATGTACACATAAACAAGATGTGTTTGTGAAACACTATGCGCCCGGCGGCAACAAAGTTAAAAAAATCTATTTTTAGCATATTGATCACAGTCAAGGTCACAAGGTCATTGACCATGGTGTCATTTGAAAGAACTTAATCGGTGGAGTAAGCATACTAAATATGAAGTCCCTATCTCCTATGGTTCAAAAGTTATGGCAAAAAGTGTAAAGAGATATTTTTAGCATATAGGTCACAGTCAAGGTCACAAGATCATTGACCTTGCCGTCGTTTTAAAGGACTTTTTCGGTGGAGTATGCATACCAGATATTAAGTCCCTATCTCCTATGCTTCAAAAGTTATGACAAACAGTGGAAAAAGCCATTTTCAGCATATAGGTCACAGTCAAGGTCACAAGGTCATTGACCATGGTGTCATTTGAAAGAACTTAATCGGTGGATTATGCATACCAAATATGAAGTCCCTATCTTCTATGGTTCAAAAGTTATGGCAAAAAGTGTAAAAAGCTATTTTTAGCATATAGGTCACAGTCAAGGTCACAAGATCATTGACCTTGCTGTAGTTTGAAAGGACTTTATCGGTGGTGTATGCATACCAAATATGAAGTCCCTATCTCCTATGCTTCAAAAGTTATGACAAACAGTGGAAAAAGCTATTTTTAGCATATAGGTCACAGTCAAGGTCACAAGGTCATTGACCTTGATGTCATTTGAAAGGACTTTATTAGTGGAGTATGCATACCAAATATGAAGTCTCTATCTCTTATTGTTCAAAAGTTATGGCGAAGGTTAAAGTTGACAACAGACAAACAGACAAACAGATAAACGGACAAACAGACAAACAGACAAACAGACAGGACAAAAACAATATACGCCCGGGATCTATCGACCCGGGCGCATAAAAATTGTATTCTGATTAATTGCTATTAAGATTTGAAGTAAATAATTACCGTACCTCAAATTACTTAGTTTAGATTTAAGATTAGTACCAAAATAATCAGTTATAATTGACAAATGAATTTTGCGACGCAAACTAACTGCAGACTATATATAGGACTTTGTATAGAATGTACATTAGAACTACATGTTGATAGACAATTCACAATTATAGCTTATGAACAGCAGTTATAATACTTTAACCCCCCACCCCCTTTTCAGCTGCGCAAATACCAAATAACTTCTCTTGCCACTTGTGATATTTTGCCTGACCAAAATGAGATCAGCATGGACTAAGTGTATAGATGTGCTAGTCTGTACCAAGTAATGACATTTTGTTTACTGTTGAGCTTTTATGGAGTTCATTTCTTTTTGGTGATGCATATTTCAATAAATGGGATTCGATGTATATCACTTGACTTGTGCACATCTTTGAACCGATGCAATAACCTTATTTCCAGGTATGGGTACGTTTACAGCATTCAAGGCAATTTCTCAATATGCATCAATTGCATCTTTAGGACCTGCAAATCAAAGACCTTGGTAGTTTTGTTCCATACAAATGCTTTAATTTCAAAATGTGTTTGCAGATTTTACTGCTTTTTATTTCAAGTTTATTCTGCATAAATTGGCGCACTGTCAAAATACGTACTCATGCATCTAAATTTCTCTTCCACACTTGCATTTTTTTCTTTTGATTCAAATCTATAATTATTCAGAAATATGATTATTATGTTGTTTATTGTGGTTTTGAAATGTCTTGATCACCTCATGTGTTCTCATAAGCTTTACCATCGGAGATGTGCACAAGTCGATACCCAAGCCAAATAATAATTCAAGTGTAACGTCCGCATTGGGGTATACATCCTTTCAATGAGACAAGGTATCTGAAAGAAATATGGCGGAATACGGCTATAGTTGGTATGAAACAAGTCGTACATAGATGAAAATTTTGCGTTTTTAAGAATTCATGTCAGCTTTACTTTTAAAAACCTAACAAAAGATACAACATTGTTTTGGTTTCAATACAGAATTCTACATAGAACAATTGGTGTGAATAAATATTTGTTTTTTTTTTTTGATAATCAGCAGTGTGCACTGTGCTCACAGGAACATGAGACCCTAAAACACTTATTTTTTTAATCATGTGATTTTGTCAAAATAATCTGGTCATCCTTAGAAGATTGGATCTGGTAGAACATTGCAAATTAATAAACAAAATATAATCCTCTGTACTACAGACATTGATGTGGGTTTGAATATTATTATTGTATTAGCAAAAAAATATATCTTTCAAACATCAAGAAAAAAGTGTACTATCTTATTTAATGATTTATCATTGTACCTCAATAATTATTTTGTTATAGACAAAAATTATATGATGTTGAACAATTTGAAAAAAGAAGGTCATTGAAAAATTGGAAATGTCTTTTTCAAAGTAATGATTAACCATGGCAACACCATTCATCGAAATCAAAATCCAATGCATTATTTTATGTATCTTAGTGTAGTCTACTTGTGTGCCATGTTATATTGAAATCAAACCAAAACTGTAGGAGGAGTAGCGTTTTAAAGAAATTTCAAAGAAAATTCTATTTTAAGTAACCATGGCAACACCGTTCATCAAAATAAAAAACCGATGCACTATTTTATGTATCTTAGTGTATTCTACTTGTGTGATACGTAATATTGAAATCAGACCAAAACTTAAGAAGGAGTAGCATTTTAAAGGAATTTCACAGAAAATTCTATTTTTTGTAACCATGGCAACACCGTTCAACGAAATAAAAAACCGATGCTTTATTTAATGTATCTTAGTGTAGTCTACTTGTGTGTTACTTAATATTGAAATCAGACCAAAACTGTAGAAGGAGTAGCATTTTAAAGGAATTTCAAAGAAAATTCTATTTTTAGTAACCATGGCAACACCGTTCATCGAAATCAAAAACCGATGCACTATTTTATGTATCTTAGTGTAGTCTACTTGTGTGCCAAGTAATATTAAAATCAAATCAAAACTGTAGGGGAGTAGCGTTTTAAAGGAATTGCACAGAAATTCCTATTTTTAGAAACCATGGCAACACTGTTCATCGAAATCAAAAACCGATGCACTATTCTATGTATCTTAGTGTAGTCTACTTGTGAGCCAAGTTATATTGAAATCAGACCAAATCTGTAGGAGGAGTAGCGTTTTGAAAAATGTGTACAGACAGACGGACAGCTAGACAGACAGACGGACGGACGACGGACACCTTACTATCGCATAAGCTCTTCTGGTCTCTGACCAGTAGAGCTAAAAAATAGTGATGCAGTTGAATTGCTCTCATCTTTATGTAACAGCATATTAGGTTTGAAAAAAATATCTTGAATGGTATCTTTAAAACTAAGCAAAACAATAAATAAAGATAAGTAAGGTCAAAGGAAAGGTCAAGGTCAAAAATGTTGATGCAGTTGCATAGCTCTCATCAGTATGTATCAAAATGTGAAGTTTGATTACACCATCTTGAATGGTATGTTTAAAACTGAGCTAAACACTAATTTAAGAAAGTGAGGTCAAAGGTTAAAGGAAAGATCAAAGTAAAAAATAGTGATGCAGTTGAATTGCTCTCATCTTTATGTAACAGCATATTAAGTTTGATAAAAATATCTTGAATGGTATCTTTAAAACTAAGCAAAACACTTACTTTAAAGATAAGTTAGGTCAAACCATGTGAAGTTTGATTACACCATCTTGTATGGTATGTTTAAAACAGAGCAAATCACTATTTTAAGAAAAGTGAGGTCAAGGTCAAAGGAAAGGTAAAAAATTTTTAATGCAGTTGCATAGCTCGCATTAATATCTATCAGCATACGAAGTTTGATGAAGATATCTTGGATAGTTTGTTTGAAACTAACCTTTGAACAGAGCTAAATGCAAAATTTGACGGAAAGACAGAAGACGGACATGACAAACACTATATGTCCCGGCCATATTCATGGTTGGGCATAAAATCATCATTTAAAAAAACCATATTTTCTTTTTCATGTGTACAAACTAATTCATTCGTATTTTTCTGAAGATCGTTTTTTATAAAACGTTGCAATTGTGAATTTATGTTTAATTTTCAATACACAAATAGGCTTTCCTTCTTTTTATTTATAAACAAAGTTAAATTGGAATTATTATATATTACCTTTCAAAGACTTTGCTTCATCACATAATTCAAATATTTCCTCATGCACCTCCAATCCCTCAGTAGACTTAACTTCCATTATCTCTTCTTCACGACACCTGAGCAGACGTTTAAGTAGCGTGGTTTTCCCCGCCCCAGCACATCCTACAATCATCCCCCGGGCGTGGTGGACTGTCCGTGTTCCTGTCTTAGCGTACTCCACATACCGCTCTCTGGCCTCCTGGTCCCACTCTAGTACTTCTGTAGGGACTCCCACTGAAATATAAAATAATAACCATCATAAGTTAATTAATAAAGTAATAAAAAAGAAAAAAAAAACAACTCTGGTCCCATTCCAGGACTTCTTCAGCAACTCCCACTGTATTTTTAAAAAAATCAAAGATCAGAACACAAATAAAAATAATTTTTGGATGATTTAATTTTCATTGATAAGTAGAGACATGAAATTAATTTCACCCTTAACAGTACATCTCAAGGTTCCATTGCCATTTCGTTGAATCATTGCTCATTTTTCCTACAAATTGACTTGTGGTATGTACACAAAGAAATTTAAAATATTATATCAAAAACTTTCTGTTTATTATACACTCAATTTAAGTATACATGTATCAATGAGGGAGATAGCAAGATTCCAGTTCCGAAATAGTCCTGCATGCTCTTGGGGAACTGGAATCTTGCCAACTTCCTCAATGAAATACTTTTTGTCTTTTATTTCACCGATACAAAAATAGAGGATTGCCAATGACAAGTAATATGCTCTTGGAGCGGGAATGATCTCACTTGACTAACACACAGGGATTAATAAAAGGTAGTCTAATAACATTTTATACAGACATAAAAGTAAAATCGATAGGATTCCGGATAACCGGGAATTAGCTTCGGAAGCACGGAGTAGCTTTTTTAACCAATGCACGGGGATTAGGACATTCTCAGTTATTTCTAGGGAATGATTCACATTTTACTATAATTAAATTTTTATAGAGGGGAAATCAGTAGAGGTATAATAAACAAGAGGCCAAAGGGCCTTGAATCGCTCTTCTGATAAATTGTACAATCAATCACTTCTGTTAGAAGCCTTCAACTTTATTAGTATCATAAGACCCAAAATGCATCAACTTACAAAGTTTGATTATATATAGCCAGTTAAGACTGAAGATATTATAATATAATTATAAAATACCATAAGTAGGTCACAGTGACCTACCTTTTGATTGAAATTTTCTGAGGACTCAAGATACATTAATTGACAAAGACTGATGATTCTAATTAAATAAGTACCTGAGATATTCAAAAGTAGGTCACCATGACCTACTTTTTGGTCAACATTCTCTGAAAACCCAAGATGCATCATCTGACAAAGTTTGACGATTCTAAGCCAATAAGTACATGTACCAATTATAAGTAAATATAGCCATAAAATGTCAAAAGTAGGTAATGGTGACCTACTTTTTGGTCGACGTTATCCAAAAACCAAAGATGCTTAAACTGACAAAATTAGATGATTCTAGGCCAATAAGTACCTGAGATATTCAAAAGTAACTCACTGTTACCTACTTCTTGTTGGACATTCAATGACATCCTAAGATGCCTCAACTGACAAAGTTTGATGATTCTGAGCCAACAAGTACCAGATATAATTAAATATAGCCATAAAATGTCAAAAGTAGGTCACATTGACCTACCTTTTGGTCAACGTTCTCAGAAAACCCAAGATGCCTCAACTGACAAAGTTTGATGATTCTAAGCTAATACATACCTGAGATATTCAAAAGTAGGTCACTGTGACCTACTTTTTGGTTGACTATCTCCGAAAATCCAAGATGCCTCAACTGACAAAGTTTGATGATTTTAGGTCAATATGTACCAGAGATACTTAATTATAGCCACAAAATGTCAAAAGTTGGTCACCATGACCTACTTTTTGGTCGTCACTCTCCGAAAACCCAAGATGCATCAACTCACAAAGTTTGATGATTCTAAGCCAATAAGTACCAGAGATACTTAAATAAAGCCATGAAATGTCAAAAGTAGGTCACCGTGACCTACTTTTTGGTCGTCACTCTCCGAAAACCAAATATGCATCGACTCACAAAGTTTGATGATTCTAAGCCAATGAATACTTAAGATACTTAAATGCAGCCATAAAATGTCGACATTTTTCAAAGACCCAACCCTTACAGAAATCAAAGGCCTGAAGGGCCTGCGAGTTGACTCGCTCGAGTCAATTGAGCTTTTTCATACATATGTGCACCATACCTTAATATATTTGGTTTATTTTGCATCTTAAGAGATTGAATATTATATGTCTGATCCATGTTCGGTTCATAAATAGAGTGTATATTACTTTTCCACTATATATACAGGTTGGCACTAATGGGCTTCCGTATTATTTTGACTGGCTTCTATAATGAATTTCAGCACATTAGCTGAAGTGGTCAGTGTTATAGGATAATTAGGTTAAAGATTCCCACAGCAAATCTGGATTCTAAAAATAGATTTTCAACAACAACTAGCTGCAGCTAATGAGAGCAGCAGGTGTTTGTGTTAGGGAGTATTCTAGGTCAATTATAAATAAACTTCAGATGGGAAGATTAGATCCGCCTAACATGCTTGAACAATATATTCATACGCAGTAATTTTACATCATACAGATATTTAATCAGAAATTTCTTTAAAAGCATATGAGGCAAAAATAATGTTACAGTATGAAATTTTATACAGTTTTTACCTCTTAAGTTTATACAATCACCCAAACCAAAGCATTTTTTGCTAGAACTATTATATTTGGCGTATGGGTCACCTTGATGAATGCGTGAAAAATTTTACATCTCTGAAACAGCTATGTCAACAGGGAGTAGGTCGCTACGCGAGCCAACTCAAAAACTAATAGAAACTTATAAGTGTTTTATAATCCACTTATTAGTAACTTATAAGTCACATATAAATTTTGAAATTTACTTATAAGTGTACTATAAGTCAAAGTAAGTATAAGTGAGGAATGGATTTCATTAATACTTCACTTATAAGTAAAGATGAGCTACAAATCAGTGAATATTTCACTTATACCTCACTTATAAGTGAAGATCAGTATGGTATGAGCAAAGTATAAGTGTGGACTTAGAATTTTTACCCTATACTAGGGCTGCCACGGTTCAGACATTTTTCGGTTCGGTTCGGTTCAGAAAATAAATTCTCGGTTTTCGGTTTTTTCGGTTCGGTTTTCATTTTGAGAATTTAAATAAAACATCTTTATATATATCAAAGGATAATAAGGATTAAGGACATTGTAGAAAGTACTATTTTGCTGACACAAATTTCTATCCATTTTATTCAACAGAACAAGTTGTTAAATGTAACAAAAAATAACAAAGTAATAAACTTCTTGTTTAGAATAAAATAAATATAGTTATTGACTAGAGTTATCTTGTTTACAACAATTGAAACATTCAAAACGTGAAGTTTTGGTTTTCCTTCAACATGTGTATGCCATGATTAAATGTCTTCGATGTTACCTGTATTTTCATTGGTTAAAGAACCCTTCATTGAAATAAACAACCAATCACAACGCGTGTTGCAAGCAAATTATTATTATATAAAAGATAAAAAAAACCGAACCGAATTCCGGAAAACCTGACTCGAACCGAACCGAATGCCATTTCGGAGCGGTTAACCGAGTTTTCGGTTAACCGTGACAGCCCTACCCTATACTAGACTTCTCTCAAGAAGCACTATGGGTATTCAAGGTAGCTAATCAGAGAGTTTGTCTCTGCAGAGATCAGCAACAAGAATTTGAAACCAAGTTTGTGTCTGTGAAAGGATGTTGGAGATTTTAGATTTATTCTGAGTATACCTTCACATCAGGTACAACAAGTAGGTTCTATTTACATCATCTCTCTATTTTAACTTCCTTTGCATGAAATTTTGAATCAATTGACTCAGTTGCTTTCAGATTTCATAAATTTGAAGAAGTCTCAAGGTCATTAAATCTTGTTGCCTTTTTGTTCAACATTCTTGTTTGTATACTGAATTAATATGTTAAGTTTGCATCATCAAAGAAATGTCATATGAAAGTGATTAATTTCCATAAAACTTTTACTTGATTATTTCATCTAAAGTGCAGATACATGTGTAAATGTAAAAAATAGCTTTGAACATATCATGCAACCCCTGCATGGTTGGAAGTTCTGTTCTAAATTAAGATCTTACAGGTAGTGTTGTACTTCATTTATAAGTCACTTATAGATGACTAATACTTGATACAGTATGAAGGGTTAATGCTTGACTTATAAGTCACTTATAGTCACTTATAAGTGACTATACTTGCATAAAGCATAAGTGGCTAATACTGGCTTATAAGTCACTTATAGGTCAAGCAGCTCATTTGCATATAAAATCCTAATGAGTAACTTATTAGTCACTTATAAGTTAAATGTATCAGTGAAGTGTAGACCAGAATAAACAACTTATAAGTAAAAGAATAAATCACTTATAAGTCACTTATCAGAAATTTCTGTAAGGGAAGATGCATCTACAGACCAAATTTGATGGTTGTAGGTCTGAAGGCAATCAAAATATGTGTTTTAAACAATTTGAAAACAAATGTTGGCAAAATTCAAAAAGTAGGTCACAGTGACCTACTTTTTCATAAATATGTTTTAAGGTCCCGAGATGCATCAAAGTACAAGATTTGATGCTTCTAAACCTCCCAGTGTCTGAAATAATGGGATTTAATGTTTTTAAAGATAAGTCATACAAAAAGTAGGTCACGGTGACCTACTTATAAGTTGACATTGTTTGAGGACCCATGATGCATCAAATGACAAAGTTTGATGATCATAGGCCTTAAAGTGTCCAAAATATGCCTTCAAATCAATTTGAAAACAAATCCCCGCAAAATTTAAAAAGTAGGTCACTGTGATCTACTTTTGAATTAACATGATGTGAAGTCCTAAGATGCATCAACTTACAAGATTTGATGATCCTAGTCCTTATAGTAAGCAAAATATACAGCAAAACTCGGTTATAACGAAGTCACTGGGACCTATAAAATTACTTCGTTATATCCGTAATTCGTATAAGAAATTCATTTAATTTATATAGCTGGGGATCTAAGATGACTTCGTTATATCCGTAAATTCGCAATATCAGTGTTCGTACTAAACGAGTTTTGCTGTACATGTTTTTATTAATTGTAAATTTGGGTCAACTTTGAAGTGACCTTGAGACCATGCCCTTTGCCCCAGGGTAATTCCCCG